GTAAGATATCTGATCCCATTCTGTGCAAACCCTTCATCTAATAGCTTGTGATACATCCTTCTGTCTTCCAGTCCTAATACATCGCTTAGTCGCTTCTTGCCTCGCTCGAGCCACTGCTCAACGAACTGGTCATACAGTGTGACGCGTTTGATCTTGGTGTTGGAGATTCCTTGATCTGGATCCACCATTCGTGGGAGTACTTCTAGTGACATCGATAGCATGAATGGGTTCTTCACAAGATCTTGTAGACTAGGGACCTGTTTGAATGCACGCCGGTAGTCCTCCGCATGCCACAGTGGATCCATGGCATCGACATATTGTTCGATATAGTCATCGATCTGAGTCTCAGAGAATGGCATGATCACAGCCTCTTCAAACAATCCATCATCTGCTTGATGATTGCGGTCCATAGGTTGGAAGCGATCTCGATAGTCTAATCCAAGGTATTCGCTGCGGCAGCTAATCACCATTTGAGCTCTCCACTCTCCAGACTTATTCAGCTGGTTGACGACATAGAGGTTGCTGGTCTGCATGCTCTCATCATATCCATCACAGATCAGGATGAATGATCGACTCTTCTTCAACTCCTTGATCTGTGAGTCTGTAAAATCGTAGTGTCGCAGCTGCTTTGCTACAAGATCCTTCTCTGGCTTGTCGATGGCTGGGAGATTGATAAACAGTGGAATCCGACCGTGTCTATTTTGATATGTCTCCCAGAGTGTGCGTTCCAGAGTGCGATTGAATGTAGACTTGCCTGCTCCTGAATCACCTTGGACAAGTAGCACTTTCTGGTCGCTATCCAAGAACTCTTTCACCTTATCCATCAGCAAGAACAGCTTGTCATCGCTTGCTTGAGGATTTGCTTTGGCATACTGTTGGATGTAGAATCCTTGGTTGTTTCCAACCTCCATCCGCTGTCTCTTTAGTTGCCGTAGACTGTCCTCAACATTGGGCCTATTTTGTGCACGGTCAAGCAAGCGTGAAGATGTAGGTGAAGGATGTGTGATGATGAAGGGATGCTGAGCCATTGGCTCTTGAAGACACTTCCTATATAGCTCTTGTTTCTTGGTGTCTCCATATTCCACTAGACCATCCAAGAGAGTGTCTGCAGCTGAAAAGAGAAAGAATAATAGTATGAGTATAGAGTGAGTAGATAAATCATCATACACTGAGAATCGCCAACATCCAAGCATATCCACAGAAAAAGATAAAAAATATGCACCTTGTAGACCATCTGGCGGTAATGAGGATAGCTCTCTAAGGATACTTATGATCCACTGCTTGATATGTGAATGATTACCCCACTCTTGGTCATTCTTGTACATCTCTCCTAGGAGTGTGATGGCATCCTTTCGAGTTTCAATGGTCCATTGTGTATCAGCTGCAATCTGTCCCAGCCTCTGACATAGTCCCCATTGGAATGCTGCATCATTTCGACAAGATGATTCACACACAAGATCCTTGAACTTGGTGAACTCGCCTCTTTGGATTAGCTCATCAGCTCCACGCAATGCTGGGTACCATGCTGACTTGTGACTGAAGCTAAGTCCTTCTTCCATACACTGTCTGAATGTCGATCCACTCTCATATAGTGAGGTTACACTGGTATATACATTCAGACTCATATCAATGGTACCTGTTACAGAAGAAAGCCCTTCCTGAATGTTGCTTATCTCATCCATGAAGGCATTCAGATCTAAGCCTTTAACAGCACTCACTACTCCAAACACTCCTCGAAGCACTGTTGATGTCCGTCGAAGCATGGCTTGTACTGTTGATTCGTCGTCAGGTATATATTGCAAGGCTTGGAAGGCATAAGCGGCTTGGTAGACTAGTTGAGGATCTGAGCTGGCTTTCAGTTCCTGAAGGAATGCTGAAAGTGGTCCATGGAGTTGTTCTCGCTTTAAACCTTTGACTTGGTTGTTGACCATGGCATCGAGAACATGTGAGACTGTAGTGGACAGACGATAGAGATGGTCGGAAGATTGTCTATGAGTGCTTTGTAAGCGGGAGCTAAGAGTGTTGAGGATTGAGACAAGGTCATCCGAATCGAGATATCCAGGAGGAGCATGCTGCATCAATTGGGCCAATCCTTCAAGCAAATGAGTCTCCAACGTGATGTTCTGGCTGATTCCGTTGACCAAAGCCATGAGTAGTGTCCTAAACTGAGCCTGATCGAGGACCGGAGCCAGGGTTGCAGCCTCCATGACAGTGGCTTCGACCTTGATTTGGTCACTAATGAACATCTCGATCACATCCGATACCAGCTTTCGTAGTCGATCATATTCATCTTGATCGTTCAACACACTCTGGCACCACTCCTTTTCACGGTCATCAAGATCATTTGTTGGTACATAAGCATTAGAAAGCAAACTGAGACAGTACACGAGCTGGTGGATGTCATTCAAGTGAGAACCAGCATCTGGTAAGCTGTACCTGATGGCTGTTGGAGGTTCATCATGGTTAAAAACATCCTTTGAAATAGTTGCAATGGCCTGCACTGTTTTAACCGTTCTAATTAACTTGCTGCTGATAGGTCCGCTGTTTTCTTGTTTGTTGCTGTTGTTGTTGCTGTTATTGCTATCATTGCTGCTGCTCTCTTGGATATATCCCCATTTTTCAGCTTTCTTGCCACGGCTTTGAGCGACATCTGAGTGACCTAGCTGTTCAAATAAACGGGAAAGCTCATGGTAGGCCGAGGCTATGCCTTTGCATAACATTAGGTCTTCATTGGAAGCTGAAGAGGTTGAAGATATTGAGGCGAGTGACTTTCTCATGGGTTTGTGGATTCGAGACAGCACAGAGTCAGCATCGAGACATAGCTCCATCACTATGTCGCTGCTATTGTCGTCTATAGTGCGAGCGCCCTTTATGTAGAAATCAAAGAGTTTCAGGGCTTGTGCTGGCAAGAGTACACTTCGTGGTGGAGTATCTGTATTGCCAAACATGGACTATTGTTCGCCCTTTTTATTTTTATTTCTATTTCTATTTGATTATAATCTATTCATTTCAAAGAAAATGTGGTTTTTGTTTGAAAGCGTGTGTTAGTAGTGAGCTTCATAAGTGAGTGAACGTCTTTTGTAAGTTCCAAGGAGGTGGTGGAGGCATGTCCCTTACTCAAGAATTCGAGTTTTTTTAAGAAAAATCAGCTGGGGGGGGGGGGGGGGGTTGTGTGACGTTGTATGCGGCGAAGTTATGAGAAAGAAAAGAGAGAAGAAAGAAAGTAAGCATGCATGCATGCATACAAGTGAGCATTATAAAATGCGGGTTCACTTCGCTTTGTTTCCCCCTTAAGAGATATCCTTCGACTTCAACCTCAACTTCAAGGGCACCTTCTTTTTAATGTCTCTCTAGTTTCACTTTATTTTCTTGCAAACAGTTACGCGTGCTCAGCCCTGTCACTTTTTTTTTTTTTTTTTTTTTTTTTTTTTTTTAATTCTTCTCAAGGGCAAAAGTGGTAATGTTTTTTTTTTTTCTTATGTAAATGCATGTTCATTTAAATATATCTCACGTGCACTCTTTTTTTTTTTAAGCAAATAATTTATTTATTGAGAATAGAATAGAGAGAGAATAGATGATACAAACTGAAATAGCAAATATCAAAAGAGAAAACAATATTAAACTACAACTAAAATTGAAGTAGAAGGATGAGATAAAATAAATAAATAAATAAATAAAAAATCTGTACAGTGAGGAATAAAAAGGATAGTTTTTTTTTTTTTTTTTTTTTTTTTCCTCATAAAAAAAGAAAAAAAGAAAAAAGAAAAGATATAATAATAATAATAATAAAGTAATAGATATAGACCAAAAATAATGGAATGCCAAAGATTAGAAAAATTATATAAAAAGGATAAAAAAGATAGCAATAAAGGAAAAAAAATAAAAAAAAAAAAAAAAAAGACTTTCTTCACTTTCTTCTTTCTTCTTTCCTTAATGAAGGATAAAGATCATCAATGGGTAAAGAAAGAAAGGATATTAAAAAGAAAGAATCAAAACACATGCTTAACGGAGGAACAGTTCAAAGATTCCAAAAGCCATGTTTTCTGAAAGGAAAAAGGGTATAATAAATGCAAGATATAATATAAAGTCTTTTTTTTTTTTTGCTTTTGCTTTTGTTTTTGCTTTTGCTTCTTTGCTTTAGTAGACCTGTGGATAGATCGCCTGTGTAGCAAAAGATGGAGCAGCAGCAGCGGCAGCACGTGCATACTCAATCGACATGGTTGACATGGACATTGGTACAGGTTTTGCCATCTCTGAACCAGGGGATAGCTGACCCATGAATGTAACTGCTGATGGATATGTTGGATCGCATCCAAACATTTGGGCAGCTTGATGTTGCTGTTGATGTTGCTGTTGCTGTTGTTGTTGTTGCTGCTGCTGATGGTGTACATGAGAGTATGGACGCGAATGGTATGAATGACGACGAAGAGGGGGAGGAAGGTTAGACTCATCAATATGGATCAGATCCATGGCACTTAAGGCAGGAGGAGGAGCCATAGGGGTCAAAGGCGTCATAGGAGACATGGGAGAGGATGCCGAGACAGGTGACAGGGGCTCATGAGTTGGGGTCTGAAGAGGTGTGATCACACCTGGATGAGTAGCACCGTATGAAGGTGGCAGCTGGATCTGAAGAGGTTGATGATGGATTTGAGCAGCATGAGCATGGGCATGAGCCTGAGCATGAGCATGAGCGTGGGCTTGGGCTTGGGCTTGGGCTTGGGCTTGGGCTTGGGCGTGAGCATGAGAGTTTGCATGTGTCTGAGGATGGTAGTCAATCTCGGGATGATACATGGGGACGACCTCACCAGTCACAGTGCGCCAGACAGTGGGACGACGCATGATGACATGCTCCTTGCGATGGTGTTTTGTAAGTGTAGTCTTTCGGCAGAAGCTGAGTGAAGTAAGCAAATTAAACAAAAAGGAAGATTTAGTAAGGATATATATTATTGTATTGAGAGTAATGTAATATTAAATAGATCAAAATTAAATTTTATGTATGCTTACCTCTTGCCACAACCATCGATAACACACTTGTAGGGTCGCTTTCCTGTATGGATACGACGATGGCGTGCCAAGGAACTGCTGTCGCTGAATCTCTTTTGGCACTCTGGATATTCACAGATGTGGGGTCTCTCGCCAGTATGTGTGCGCTGATGCACAGTCAGAGCAGAGCGCTGGATAAACGATTTTGTGCAACCAGGCTCAAGGCAGACGAAGGGTCTATGGAAATAAGTTGGTCGATACACAAACAGATTAGAATAACATTGTACATGTATGCATTTGAATAAAAAAAAAAAAAAAAAAAAAAAAAACATTTGTGCAACTGCAACCACAATTTTCTTTTTTAGTTTGTTGGGCCACATGGTCAGCATAGGATGACAAAAAAAAATCGCCGCGCTTTTTTTTTTTCTCTTCTCTTTCCAACATGGTCATGCATATTTTTTCCTCGAAAAATAAGTTTGGTTTGAAAACTAATAACTTACCGTTCGTTAGTGTGAATGCGTCCATGACGTGCCAAGTCTGAGCGACGAGAAAATGCTTTGCCGCAATGCATCCATTCACAGATGAAGGGTCTCGAATCATGATGGTGGCCCTCGGCAGCATGGATCAGTTCGAGAATATCCATCTTGGGCAGGGGGTTCAAGGGATTAATTTTGAAAAACTAAAGCCACAAGGGGCGAAAAAAAGTAAATAAAAAAGAGGGAAAAGGAAAGGATAGGGAATAGGGATAGGATAGATAAACAGAGGGGTGAAAAAAGGAACGAAATGAAAATGGTTCGTGTAGTTTCAAACGAGGAATGGAGGAGTAGGGAGTTATGCAGGGGAAGAACAGCCTTCTATTGGACACAAACGTAAACACAAAGACAATTTAGATGTTAGTTAGATTGGAAAGAGAGAAAAAGGGGAGGGGGGGGGGGATGAAGGCATTTTTATGAAGATGTTGGGTGGTGTGGTTTGGCAAGTTAGGACCGATGCAACAGATGATGTGCATATCAAATGTGGTTGTATACACCACGTTATACGATGCTGCATAAGGATTTGGAGAGCATGAAAGTAAAGGGATGAAGAATGAAAAAGGGTATTTTGCGCTGGAGAATCGGACGGTTGTGCAAGCCTGAGCAGATGAAGAAAAGAGGAATCGAAGGAAGGAAGGAAGGAAGGAAGGGAATATTACCTTGTGCTCGGTATTTGGATAAAAAAAAAAAAAAAAAGGGGGATATGATTTGAAAGGTGCAACAGTAAAAGATAAAGGAGGAGGGATGATGTTCGCCTGTTGTCCCAAGGGGGAGAGGGGTATATCGAATGGAGAGGAGAAAGGAATGAAAGAGAGGAGACGGAGGACAGAGGAAGAGACTGATGAAAGAGCTTCTAAGAGAGAAGAGTAGGTTTTATGTTTTTGTAAGAAAGTGAGGGGGGAAGTGAGATGGTTTATATACCGGGGACAAGAGAAGGATAGGCCAGGAACAATAGACTAAGATAAAGAAATAAAAACGAATTCACAGAGGGTAACAGACATCAGGCACAGGAACACACAGTTAAGGTCAATTGTTCTGACTGTGGATGCATTAAAGTAAATGGAATAAAGAAAGAAATAAAGAAAAGCGGATTGAATGTCTTTTTCTTATTCATTCCTTATTTCTTTTTCTTTTTCTTTTTCTTTTTCTTTTCTTCTTCCTCTCTTTCTTTTCTTTTCTTTTCTTTCCTTGCTCTTTCTCTGCGCAAAGAGAGTTTTTTAGAGTTGAGTTGGGGCCAATTGATTTGATTGTATTGTGTACATAGACGGATATATATTCTTGTTTATCCATTCAAATGCCCTATCAATCCAATCCAACCCAATCCAATCCCAACCGATAATCACTTCTTTGGCGCCATTTTTTTGTTTTTTACTTTTTACTTTATTTCCATTCTATTTACGTTTCTCTTCTCTATTTTATTTCGGTCGTTGCCATCGTTTTTATCCTCTTTATTGTTGTTGGACACTGCTACTGCATTATTGTTGTTATCGCTATTGTTATTGTTATTGTTATTTGGTGTAGAAAGGATTGAAAACAAAGATATTTTTATGTGCAAAATGCTTTATTTTACTCCTTCCCCTTGACAATGCCTGCACAACAGGGTCTGATTGAATTGCATATCTTTTTTTTATATACATATAATATCGTATATATATAATAGGATTGAATGACTATATGCATACCTTTGTTACTCAAAGCACCATGTGTATAATAAAGAATGATTAGCCTAAATAGTTTAAAAAAAAAAAAAAAAAAAGGCATGCTGTGCCTATAGTATCGAATGAATTGAATAGTATAGATATCCCTTCCATCTTTTGTTTTATTTTCAATCTCCCTCTCGGAGCAAATGGCAAGAGCAAAGTACCGTACCCAAACGGTCTGCTCTAATGTGCGATGTCAAGTAAATATCCGTTGGTCCCTTTTTTCTGAGCAATTGACATAACCGGAGGTTTCACCCATCGTTGCACAGGAGATGTTTCCTATTCAGTCAATTCAGTGCTACAGTACATGTACAGTACACCCGATTTATTTATTTCCGCTTTTTATTTTAATTTTTATTTTTGCTTTTTACTTTACTTTCTTTTTTATTTCTTTTTTTTTTTATTCTAGCCTATAGACATGGACATGTATCATATTACAAGTCTCTAGGTTGACTATATCTTCCATGTCACTTCTACGCTGTTCTTTCTCTGTCCACAAAGAGATAAAGTGATAAAGAGATCAATGATAGAGGCAAAGTGGCAAAGACAACAAAGAAAGGAAAAAGGAAAAAAAAAAAAAGAGGAAAGAAAATCCCATTCGGAGATAATTAATTTTAATAAAAATAATAAAAATAAAAATAAAAAAAAAAATGCGTTCCTAAAAAGACTTTAGAAAATCAGTCAGGTTAGTTGAACAGAGAACCAAAGTTCTTAAATGAACGATAATGCAAATCGCGACGGGGCCACCTCTTTGACAAACGAACGAAAAGAGAGAGAGAGAAAGACAAGAAAAAGGAAGAAGAATCACAACAAGTCGCAAACAATAAACGCTATAGCAAAAAAGAATTTTTTTTTTTTTTTTTGCAGAAATAGAAAATTCTCCTCATTAGTGCTTCCAACCAAATAGTTCAACGTTAATTAGGACCTGCATGTCGACGGGAACAAACCACATAAGCAACGAATACATCATCCTCCCATAACCAACTAAAAAAAAAAATAAAATAAAATATATATTATGCCATAGAAAATAATTACGCGCCAAAAAATATATATATATATATCTTTTGGAGACTGGGAAAGAAAGAAAAAGGCGCGGGAAGAGACAAGTAAAGTATAGACATGCAAGTAAAAAAGAAAGAAACTTTGAAGAGCGACGATGGAGGATGACGAGGAGCGGAGGTTCAAAGGTGAACGGATTGGTCAGCAATCAACTGTTCTATCAAGATGAGGTAGAGACAAAACCTAAATAGATTGGTCTGATTATCAGAAGGAAGAAGAAAAAGAAAGTTGCCATCGAACATGAATTATCACAACCATACGTCCGTAACGGCACATCAACAAGATGCCCAGTGAGACAGACAGTCGAGCGGTTACAGCCTTAGAGGTCGTGGTTTTGGTTACTTGCATAAACACAACATATACACATACAACACAAACAACACGAATATATATATTGTATATATTGCATATATTGTAGATTGATCATCCTGCTGAGAATGAAGAAAGGAGTGTTTGTTCCATCTCGTTTTTGAGGTAGGTGATCGTCATCCCTCTATCTCTTACTCATTCACTATCCGCTTGGCAAATATGCAGAACAAAACATGTAACAACCACCCTCCCCTATCCTCTTTGCCTCCACAAAACTCTTTGATCCTTTGCTCGGTTATTGTTTTTGAGACAATAGTAATAAAGCATGAATAAATTTCTAATCAGTGGGAAAACAAGGTACTAGACTTTGCTCCATGGTCCACTCATGACCGTAATGTATGCTCGCAAATCTCGCTTTTCCAATGCAAATCAACGCATACATGTCATTCCTTATCGCGTGTTCATTTCTTTTTTTTTTTTTTTTTTTTTTTTTTTTTGAACAAAAGGTGGCAAAAGGAAAACCAAAAAAAAAAAAAAAAAAAAAAAAAAAAAAGTCAAAGCCAATAGGCAAAGCTCTAAAGTCAAAGGCATAGAGGCGAAGGCATAAAAAAGATAAAAAAAAAAAAAAAAACGGGTGGGGTCTTGTGAGTTAGTTTGTAGGTGTAAATGGGGGTAATGATGGAACTGTAGCGAGCCAATCAACGGCTGTCCAGACTATGCAGATTCATGTACTGGTAAAGGTGCAGAAGAGAGTGAACAATAGGGAAAAGAGCTCCCTTTTTTTAGTCCTTTTTCTTTTTACTCTTTTGTAAAAAGCATTCAATTTCTTGATCCAACATTATAATGTTTCTTGTTCAATCATATCAAAAGGACAAGCCCATTCGATCATTGTTTTTGTTTTTGTTTTATATTTATTTTATATTTATTTTATGTTTTCTTATTTTTCTCTTTTTTCTAAAAGCAATGTTGAAGCGCGACCATTGGTCTTATGGCAATGTGATACTATTTCTCTGGTGCGGCATTATTTTTGCAACCAGTTATAAAAGCTTTATGCTCCCTCTTTACTCCTTCTGACTCCTGCTGATGCTGTTAGCTGATGGCTGGCTGTATGTGAGCTTTTTGAGCGATAAAAAAAAAAAAAAAAACATGTAACATATTTTAACAACGGACGAGAAAAAAAAAAAAAAAAAAAAAAAAAAAGAGGGCGTTCAAGCAATGAAGCAAGCAATGAGGCAAGCAAGCAAGCAAAAGGTATAATAAAAAAAATAAAATAAAAAAAAAAAGAATGCACCTTGAGACGTTTAAGGTGCACATTTTTATTTTTTATTTTTATCTTTTATTTATTCGCCCTTTGTCACGAGTAATTGAGCTATAGAAGAATAAGAAAAAAAAAATTTGGACTGATGGGCGATGACAATTGTGACATGGGAGATGTTACATGTACCAGGAATTAGGTAGGACCATTATTTCAAAATAAATGCAGATGCACCTTCCACATTGAACATGCAGCTCTGCTAAGCATGGACCATGATGTTGGGCCATGCCATCTTGCTCATCCTCTATTTTATTTTATTTTTTTTAAAAAAGCCTTTTGCTCAGCATATATACCTGCTCAACTCAACCATTATTGTGAGCATCGATTGTTTTATTTTTTTGAAACTCCATGCATCAAGAAAAAAGAAAAAAATCAGGTCTTGGTCCTCTTTCAAGGTCTCTAACTCATTTATCACCAATTGGAATCTCATTCCCTTGCCACTACTTTCGCTCACTATGTTAACTAACTATATATTTATATATATATATAATATGTATAATTACTATATAATATATACATAGTGTATGTGTATAGATGTGTGTGTGTGTTTGTATGGTGGATGCATTACTCTCTTTCTCTCTCTCTCTCTCTCTCACACACAGTCTTCTGTCTATTTCTTTCTATGACTGAGCAGCAATTAGTGAATTAGCAATGTTTTTTTTATTTTTCAGGGGCTAGGGTCAGCCTATTCTCTCTCCCTTGTGTACATGTAATTTCACTCAAACGT